ACATGCGTGTGTAGATCTACATATATTGCACATTTTACCTATCCAAGGAGTATGGCGTGTCACCACAATCTTCCGTGTCCTTGGACAGTCTTCTTTCCCTGAATTCCTTCTCCCTAGTAATTCCACACTTCCATTTAGACCATACTTTTTAGGCCTCATTGTTTTTCTCTGAACTCTCCATCAATCAGTTCATTTTGCACTGCATTACTCAGAACTAGGCACAGTAGCACGCATCCTGGAGTCTTTATTGGTGAGAAACAGAGCATGCGCATGACCCCAGCTCACTGGCTGTCCTTCTGACTGTGGATCCCAGTATCAGGTTTGCCCTTTTCCAGTAATGCCACATTTGCCACTCACACTCCGTCTGTGATTCACTGTGAACTCCCAGTGTTTGCACTCGTTTTTGCTTGTTCCCCATCTGGTATTTGTGCTGCTGCCCATATTGCCTAGTGCATTTTTCTCTCTTAAATGTCCCCCTGGCTGTTTCAAACTATTTCCTGAGTTTGTTGAGATCATTCAAATTTGAACCCTGCCCTCCGGTATGCTTGCATTTCCTCTCATCTGTGTACAGTCTATAAATAACATCCCGGTTATTACTGAGGAGATGATTGAATAGGACTGGACCAGCACAAGTCCACTTGATACATCCTTCCACTTTGACAGTGAACCATTGACAGTCCAAGTATGTTTTTTACATCAATTTGTATCCCTTCTCTGTAGCAGCAGCTTAATCTAGCCTAAATTTATAACATGTCTGTGAATGTGTCTTAAGGATTACTGTCAAAGCCTTACTGAAGTCAACGGAGTTGTCTACTACTGTTCTTCTTCCATCCACAAGACATGTCACTCTGTGTAGAAGAAGATGAGAAAAAGGGAGGGAATACAGTCCTAAAATTATTCATCTTCCTTGACCCAAGTTTTCCAAAGTCATTAACTTAGACTATAATGATTGCTTTTTTATTTCACAACACACTCTCTGCCCAACTGGAGGCAGAGCCAGTATAAACTGTGATGATGCTTCTTGATTACATCAAATACTCCAGAAAAAGGAAGCACCAGGGAGAACCTTAATGTTGGTTCCTGTGCTTCTGGCCAGAGGCCTCAGATCCTATCTGGAAAGTGGAGATGTTTATGCACCCAACCTTTTGTAATCTGGCTGCTGTATCTCTTGTTAACTCGACAATGAAAACACTTGTCTCAAATAGGTAATTAGGGGCTTTGAATGTTATGTCTTACAGTCTCAAATTGCTCTGTAGCCTTATTTTTCCACGGTTCACAAAAAGAGGTGGTTTGTGGAGGAATTGACACTATTTGCCGATACAAATTTGTAAGTCAGCAGGCTGTAAAACTCTGAATACTATATGGTACAAAACACAAGTTGCACAACGCCATACAAAGCTGTGCCCCTCTTCTAGGAGATTCTCTACACAGGGCAACTGAGGGCTTTGCCTTCACTATCTCACAGATTTTAATATCAAATGTGCAAAGCTTTCAAGTGAAACATGCATATGTATTTTAGATTTCAGCTCTGGAAATTCATGCTAGGATCTGAGAGATAAATGAAGTTATTGTTGGCATGTATAAGTATTGTACAGTAGCTAGATACATTAAATATCTCTCCTTTCTGGTAATTATGTCTACAGATTTCCCAAAGAAACTCTAAAACTGTCAAACTTGTTACGGGCAGTCCTTTAGCTGTCACGTCCCACAACTCCACTACAGATGTCTCCTCCTTAGCTACAACTGACAGAGTGTTTATAAGCTTGAAGGATAAGATCAATTGTCACAGTGTTTTTGACTCCTTTGGTTACAGAGGTGCCTCTAAGGAAATCTTGTCCACAAGGGAGTGTGCCAGGAAGTAGGTGTGTTCACTTGGAATTAAATAGAAAACCCTTTTTCCCTGCCTTACACTTCTCAAAATGTTGGTGATCACATTATAGCAAATAATATGAAAAATACTTCAAATACTTTTAATTAATATTCCACTGAGGACCTGAAAATAGATCCAGCTGTAATCCATTTACTCCCCCCTGCCTAATGCCTGAATCATGACATTCCTCCTGATTTTAGTTTTAAAAGTTTTCGTAACATTTGAGGAAAGAATATTTAAATACTGATTTGCTACTCGAAAGGTAAAAAGAGCAGTCTCCTTTGAAAATACAGTATGAACGATGTCTAACACAGCTTTCTCTCTCGGTAGTGTCTCAGGGACTGCATTATTCCCAATGCTGTTGTGCCCTTTAGTCCAAATAACATTATTTTCTTGTGTTTCCCATCTGCAGTGTGATGGCCAATAGCCAATCACAAAGTTTTGCATTGAAATGGCAAGGATATGCTCTAATTGCCTCCCTAACAAAGACCTTGATTACATCTAAATTCCAGGATTTCTGAAGGCGATTTTTTCATGGCATCAGCCTATTTGTTTCTGACTGATTACCCCTTCAGCACTGCTAACCTTTCACTCCTTTATATCCCAGACATCAACAAAACATCTTTAATCCAAAATGAAAAGTAGGGAAGGTAACAAAATCTTAGACGACACAGTTGAGTAATTTCTATACGGCACAATGACTGTAAGCATAACAAGTTGTTTCTCTACGAAAAAAAAAGTGGTAAGTTGTGAGTACTGCCTCTGAAGCACAACTGAGCTTCATAACACAGCCTAATCCTCCTCCCTGAATCTTTGCTGTGTCTAGAGCTGCTCAGCCATATATTTGCTGTCTAGTGAAACTGTCCCTGTAGGTGACAAGGTTTCTGTGTGACTGAAATAGCAGCGAAGGTCATGTGCTGAGCCCCTGGATGGGTGTGAATTCACTTTGCAAGAATACAGTTCCCCCCAAAATGAACTTAACTAAAACAGCCAAGAAAGTTTAAAGTTGGTACCAAAGATATAAGCAAGGACAAAGATTCTGTTGCAGGAGGGTCAGTGGATTTGCCTCTCCTCTCTGCTCCACTCCACATGGAAAAGAATGGGGTGTTTGGTACAGTATCCCAGGTTTAGCTGTACATCACCAGCAGATGCTTTCTGTCACAAATTGCCAAATTCTGCCCAGTCCAAGGCAAGAGCTACGGTACTCGGAATCCAGATGCAGCTTGTATTTGATTTCAGTGCTCCCTGTGGGACCACCGGGGCTGAGGCAGGCTCTTGTCGTGCCAGCTTGCTTCTCCTGCCCCAGGAGACATCAGGCAGGGCAGAAGCAGGCAACGCTGGCAGGTCTGTAGCAACCGGAGGATGAATACCCTATGCAGGTGTTTCCCACCGCCTCGGGAGATGCAGGAGAAACTAGGTGTGACAGAGCCTTACAGCGCTTGCAGAAAGAGTGACTGACAGGAGAAGAGTGTGACTGTGGCCCTCTAAAATCAGGCAGGTTTTCATTACCTGGGGTGGGCACTAGATCAAGTTGATATTGCTTTAAATAATGCGGTCTAAATGCCAGCAGCAGGCGACCGATGTTTCTAGATTAAGTGTATACGCAAGCCAGGGAAATGCCAAACACACTTGTTTGTAAATGTGAAAGCACAGTTCAAGACACAGACATTGTACCTCAGTCTAGGTGTTTGTTCCAAAAGTATCTGGCCCCTGCAAGAATTTAGTAAAGAAAACCTAATTTACAGTAAGACATAAAAAATACCGTGAGACTTCACAATTCATATTCCCCCTAAAATCTCTTGGAAACCCCAAGGATTTCTTTACGGACACCAGTATTCCAAAGCGCTCAATTTCTGTGATGATTTATACCACCTGCCTTATTGTTTTTGCCTTCAACACTATCAGTTCTGTTGCACTTTTCCTGTTTTGGAAATTCTCCAGCTCTCCTGACATTTTTAAGTGACCTTTGTATGGAGTGAAAGTGCCAAACACTAGGCTCCTAGTAGTGCATCTGCATTTAGTTAGGAATTTAAAAATCCAAAGCTACCATTATTTTAATCCCAAATCTTTGGAAAAATAAAAGCAATTAAAAGTTCCATATGGATAAGAGGAGATCGATGGGCTATGTCACTGAAAAGGAGAAGATAGTAACTAAATAAATGAGGACTAGGTGAGCAGTCCTTTGTTTTTTCTTTTGTTACTATTTCCAGATCTGGAAAAAACACAGTTTGTACCAAAGTGAATGTTTATTTCCTTTTCTCATGGAAATAAAAAGCTGAAAACTGTTATTTTTTTTTGAGATTAAAATTTTCCATTTCAACTCAGAGAAGCATTTACAGGTTGCAGGAGGAAAAGCAAAGGAAATATGGAGCTTGTTCACAGCAGTAACTACTCCTTTGCCTGTGGCTCAGGGGCGGGAGACGAGCTCTGCTTGAAAGGCTCTGGATGGCTTCACCCTCCTTGAGCCGGGCTGTGGCGGAACCTCGCTGGGACCATATTGCACTGCAAGAGGAGGGAATGAAGCAACTACAGTGAAAAAATCCAGATTCATAAGTCAATTTCGGGCCATCGCAGTTTCTGAGCTGTGAGCAATGTGTTTTCAGCTCTCTGTTAAGTGTCTGGGAGAATCAACTGGAAGCTCACGTAAAACAACAGCTCATGCTGTTTGACTGTTCTTATGGAAGCCTGGTGGATGGTCTTCACTTAAAATATGTGACTACAATCTGTTTGCAAAAGATGATATAAGGCGTATCATGCTGCCTCTGTTCCTTGTTACTGTCACTGAGGACTTCAAGTCATAGAAACTCTGACGCTCACGGAGGTGAGTTCTAATGGTAAGGCTAAAGATGGGGAATTTGTCTCTCAATCTAAGCTAGAGACCAGGATAAACTCTTCCTTAAAACTGCTGTCCATAAATCTCACAGCTTTCTCTCACAGCTCATATTTTCTAGGATTCACCCTGTTTGCCTTCTGGCAGCTGCCTCCAGTTAGTCTGCATCTACATAAAAGTGTGTCCAAGGCTGGACCTAGTCTCCAGCTTTTCCAGTGATGCGTAGAGAAGAAAGGTGACCTTTACATTTTGCGTTTACATATGATATCCATCTCTTAACTATCTCCTTGGCCACGCTAATTAAATTTTGACGTTCAGGATCTTTCCTAGCCTCAAGAATTCATGTCCTCGACTGTAAAAGCAGTAGGTAAAGGTTCACATCAGCACTGTGGATCCTAACAAGCCAAAATAAACATACGTGCCTCTCTCAGTTGTTTTAACCCCACAGAGAAGGCAGGGAGAGCCCTGTGTGATGGCATGGAGGCAATGACAAGGAATGAAATACTCCACTTCATGTGGTTAGCATGAATGCTGTGGTGTTACTGAAAACCTGTTAATGGAGGCAAAAATAAATAAGCTGCCACAGTGCTTTTTGATTAAATACATTTCCAGAAGTCTAGGTTTGGTTTGTCTGTTTTTTCCTTTGTTAAAAGCACAGAGTAAGTGCAATGGGAGGAATGAAGAGCTTAGCTACTGAGCCAGGCTTGGTAGCAAACTCTACCCAACAAAATCTCCTTTGTATGCTTAACATTAAGTGCATGGTTAAACACTGTACTAGAAATAGAGTGGATTGCTGAGCAGTTTCCAAAAGGAAGCCCTCTAGCCTTAAGGTTTTTTGCAGTTCATTCACACCTGCTCCACACTTCGTTTCACAGTTCAAGAGCTGTTTGGCAAAAAAACATGGAATATATTCTGATATTTTTTCCCTGCAGTAGCTCTTCTCTTACAAATAAATGCCAGGATATGAAAAATATACTTCCTTATACTATAGGAAGTATAAAGAGTTTGGAATGAGAATGAAACAAAGATGTGGTAAAACTATAAGGCTGAAACAATAAATCACAATGAAAGTAAAAAATTCTGGTGTTAAAGATGATTTTCCCTATAGGAACCATTCAGCGATAAAATCTTTTACAAGAAAGGAATATTGAATCCGTGAGATGAGAATTTTTACATCTAAAAGGAAGCAGTGTTAACCCACTCCTAGAAGCAGATCACTTGTGTTTCACCATTTTCCCGAGAAATAGTCTGAACATTTATACAGACAGAAGCAACAGAAAAGATGGCACCATCCAAGAAGGAAAACATAAATCATTCATGCAGAGACAAACACTCAGTTTTATGTGTTGAGAAGCTTTTATTGGATCACCACAATACTTTGGATTAGTTACACTATGGCTCTGAAGTATCAAATTATAGTGCAGTCATTTTCCCAATAAAAGGAAGTAAGAAAATAAAGAAGCACAGTGCATGAGGCTTTGGTCACTGAACTAAGCCAAGTTTTAAGAGCCA